GCTCCTCGCCCCTCTAACTTCTGTCTCATTTCTCCCTCTCCTGCTTCTGGCTCACTGCCACCTCCAACACCTGTCCTGAGCTCCTCTCTGCCTCCAAACCCCCTGTTTCTTTGCCACTGTCTTATCCCCACTGCCTTTTCCTTTTCCCCTGAGCAACCAGGTTTCTGCTTCAGTTTCTTTCCTGGCTGTCTCCTCCTTGCCACCACTTATCTGCCCCTCCTCCCCATTCTAATATCTCAGCTGTCTGCCTCAGTTTCCAGCCCCAGTCTACTTTAAGTAAACCTGTTCCTCAGCCAGCTTCTCTGTAGTCCACTGGTTCTAATCCCGGTTCTGGCAACTTTCAACTCCCTACACTTTAACTCTCTCTCACCTGAACCGTCCCCCAAGAATTCCAGATACCCCAAGCGCGCACATACACACTGTACCATCCAAGTCAGGAACTTACCTGTGTGTATGTGTAGGTGGGTTGTGTGTGTGTGTATATGTAATTGTGTGCATGATATACAAATTAGTGATCTGTGTCTAACTTTTGGGGTGTATAGTGTATGTGCTCAAATTGGTGATAGGTATGCATGTGCCTAGGCTGGTTTGAATGTGTATGTGCCCGAGCTGGTAGTGTGTGTGTATGCACCTAACTGATTTGTGTGTTTGTATATGTGCAATTGTGTCACACCCTCCTGTCTAACAGCGCAATATTGAGATCCTGAGAGTTGGCCTGCCTCCACAGGGCAACAAGCCGTGCTGGTGCCTTGAGAGATGTAGAAAAAACATTTAAAGCTGTGTCTATGTCCGAATTGCTGATTCTCTGAATCAGCATCGAATCTTCAGATTTGGCCGAATCGAATCACTGTCCCTGATTCAGGCCAAATCTGAATTGAATAGGACCAGCTTCACACACACCTGCTTAACAAAAGGCTAGATTCACAAAAGAGATTTAGGCATTGTGATGCTGAACATCAAGTTTAACTGCTATGTAGTAGAATTCATAATCCCAAGTTAGGCAATGAGGGTCGTCTATTCAATGCATGTGGAGAGACAGTCGAGGAGAGAGAGAATAGGGTTCACAGAAGCACAAATACTGAGTGGGACTTTCTAAGATAGCTGAAATGAAATGCTGAAGATGCTCAACTCTTGAGCTATGGGGAAGTTCCTCCCTCCATTCATGATTTACATCCATGAACCCTCCTTCCCCTGGTGTTAGTGCCTAAACCAAATCAATCCTTTCCTGCAAAAAACAGTGTTGATGGCACCACTCATCTTAACCCTACTAGTCTAATGGTTAGAGTACTCATGTGGGATTTTGAGACATCAGGTTTCAAACCCTTCTTCTGCTTGATTTGGAACAGAGACCTGAAATCAGATATTTGATCTCCCTGGACAGTACTCTAACTACTAGGGCTAACCGGTATTCTGGAGTAACTCTCTGTAAGTCCCTTCTACTACAGCTGTTTGAGTAGGCTTTCAATACTTAAGTGTTCCTTATAGCAGAGTCTGGATACTGGACTTCCCAGGTGAGCTCCCTAACTACCACACTATAAGAGTCATTCTTACCTATCTCTAACCCAGTGGATACCCAAATGAAACAGCTTTGGCACGGAAGATTGAGAGGAGATGGATCCCCCAGAATATTTTATTAGTCAGAGGTTACAGTACTCCCCTTCTAGGCAAGAAACCCAGGTTGAAGTCCCTGTTCCAAATCAGCCAAAGGAAAGATATGAACCCAGTTCTCATGGTGAGTGGTCTGTTAGCCTGATACTATAGATAATATACTGGCTCTAAGCACACTAATCAGATCAGGCCCCACAAGCAAAGCAGCAGAGAGAATGTGAAACTTGCTGGGGCATAGCACTGAGATATTCTGTTGAGACTTTGCTGGTTCCGTGTACTTTCCCTAGAAAAAATGGCCATGTTCATATGGTAAACATCATCACAGGCAGCAGTGCCTTCAGACATGCTCCACTGCTCTGGGTGGACTGCCTCAAACTGGAAACAGTGTAGCCACCTTCAAACAATCCTTCAGGCAGGATTACTGGCATTGATGCTTGGCAGTGCCAATTAGCCTGACCCCATGGGCACAGCTACACTGTTTCTAGTTTAGGAGGCAATTCCTCCACCGCTACCAGGGAGTAGTACAGTATGCTTCAGTGTACCAGAGCTGCAGATGGTAAATTTACCATGTAAACATGTATTACAATTGTAATAAAATGTTGATCAAAATCCTGCACTACAGGAGTGACTCAAAGTCTGCTTTTCTTCTCACTCAACCAACATCAAAATAAATGCTTTTACATTTAAGGGTGACATTACATTTGAATCTAAAGTGATATCAAATGTCAAGGTCAGGTAAGTTTATTTACTGAATATCTAATGCCTACTTTTCATTTAAAAAAAGGAAACAAATTTTACAAGCTCTTATTCACAAGAATATTCTCAGTAATTGCAGTGGATTACTTGATAGTGATGGCTACTTGTAAGACTAAAGGTTAGAAGAATCAGGTCATAAAAGTTTTTTCTTTCCTGGTTATATGCTAATTGTTATTAAAGTAGTTTTAATATCACCTTAGCAATAAGCAAAATCTTTTTCAGACTGGCAAAATACTTTGTTCAACAACCATGCCTCTAACAAAATTGAAGGTAGCAAGGTGGAATGACCTTGAAGTCACAGATGAGAAAACAGTACCTTATCTTCAGCAAAAATCATCTCTGTCCCAGTAGCAGATAAGAATTTATTTTTCCCTGGAATATCTTGAGCTGTTATTGCATCTAGCACTCCTGGTAATTTGAGAGCTTGTAGTACATCAATTGATCTGGAAATGAAAGTTCGTACAATAAAGTCACAAAGGGAGTAGCATTATTATTACTATTTATGCAGTACCTACCAATTTTTGTGAACAAATAAAAGCCTTGCATCTCCCCCCAGGAACTCATCCTGTACTTTTATACATAGCCTCAGTTAAAGCAACAAAAAAGCAAAGTAGACTAAATTAGAAAAGGAGATGGTAGTAACAACAACATGATTGTGTTCATTATGCACACATATTCTTATCAGTTTCATTCTTAGTTGCTTATTACAGTTAGAGTTGAAGTTCCAGTGGGAACAGGATGAAGTAGACAACACCCCCCCAGTTAGCACCCTCCCCCCTAGTTTAGTAATTCTAAAATGATATTTCTTGGCTTGGAACCCCGTAGAACATAGTGTGGGGGTACAGTGGAAATTCCCACGGCAGATATGAGTTGAGGCTGCAAGGAGAAGCAATAGCTTCATTGAAAAGATAATTAATAACATCTACAAATAAATTATTTTGAAATCTTTGGGAAGGAAAGGCCCCTAGTTTTGCTTAGAAATTTCAAACTATTTGAGAAACAGCATGAACAGATTTAATAACATTAGGCCAAAACCAAAATCTCTTCTGTTTTGCTGCTGCAAAACAGCACAGTGCATAATAAAAGTAGTACAGAAGGCATGGTAGTAAATCATGTCATTTTAATGAACAATTGCAATAGTACACTGTGATAAAAATCAGTATACAAAATAATTATGTAAATACATTACAGCAGGGGTTCTCAATCACTGGGCCACGGCGGGTTGGCTGCTGGTCTGCAGCACGGTCAACTGCTGGACTGGAAGTGGCTGCGGACTGGCAAACCACGGCCCCTTGAAGCCAGGCATAGAGGCCATGGCTCTTTCCACAGGGCCAGTGGCAGCGCAGGGTTGGCCCACCCCTCCCCGCTCGGGGGATGGCGGTATCCTTACCTGTCTTCTGGCCAGAAATTCTGGCCGTGGTCAGCTGTGACTGCTGGGCCGCAGTCACTTCCAGGCTGCGGTTTGCTGAGCTGCAGCATAAAAACTTTGGGAACCCCTGCATTAAAGCAAATTAATTCTTTTTGGAATAATAGGAAAGCAGGACAAAGTATGTTTTCCCAATCCTTTTTTATGTCTTAGACTGCTAATCATGTTGGTGTGGTATCATACATGCTGAGATTTGCATGACAGTTTTTGTGCTGAGGATTCCCAAATGGAAATGTTAATAACTTTATTTTAAAATATGTCTCACGCTTTCTCCTGGTGAGATGTGCTTGTCATCACAAGACTTTTCAGACTTCCAGACTCAACAAAATGAATAGTTTACTTCTATGAACTCATCTAACTTTTTCTTTTTTGATGTACTTACATAATCTTTGCATGAGCTCTAGTACTGGTAACTACAGCCAAGAACAGTTCTTCATCCATTGGACAAATGTCATCACAGTAAACAGCTTCACCAGTGGCATGCTTAACTGCAGACTCATGCATGATAGAATCGCCTACAGGATATTGAGGAAGGTTCTCTGGCACTACAACCTATTTAGTTAATACAAGAATTACAGAAGAACTTAAAATGTTTGTAAACAATACTTTCTGTCTATGACTGGGCTGGGCTGTACTTTAACACTACATGCGACACCTGAAAGTGTATGTATTATCTAAAGCAAATTGTATTTTGACCTGTATGATTCACTGTCTTGTTCTCCCAAAATGTGCAAATGAAGTTAAAAAAGTTCTATGAAGAAGGCAAGGAAAAGTCACAGCAATGTGACATTTTGTATTTTTAGCAAAGGGTGATTATTCCTCTGTTGAGAACATGCATTTTGCTATTTTGCAGAGCCTGCATGTACTGAACTATATTAAGCGTGGTGAAAGGATCTAGATCAGGGTGACAGTCATACAGCTCATGGACTAGATCTGGCCTGTGGGCTTCTGGACTGACTCACATGTCACATGGAGCATGTACTGGCCCTGGCCCCATGTGCTGTACAGGTTTATATCTGCAAATTGTTTCTTTTGTTGTAAAAATGGAGATTCATCAGAAAGATATGAATAACAATGGAAAAAAAAAAACACTAGGACAAGTGCAGCAGTTGAAAATTGTAATTTTTGCACTTTGGTATTACCAAAAAGCCACTACCTGAAATAGCTGTAAACTTTGAGGTGTCTTGATTTGAAAAATTTCAAGGGCACTCATATCTTTTTTTGGTATGTCATAGTATCTATGGTTATCCTAAAATGAAACACATTTGATTAATTCAAAATAATCAAGTTTATTTGTATAACTTTATTTGCAAACTTTATTTTTAACATGCTTCAAAGCTGCAGGACATTTTTTGGCAAAGGTAAGTAGGGAACCTTAAACAGTTACTTTTCAGATATTAACAACAGTGAAGCAACTGAGGGCACTTGCACTATTGGGATCTATTTGAGATAAATCATAAAACAGCCTAAATGAACTCCTTTAAACAATATTTTAGAAAGAATTTTATAAGCAAGGGAAACAGCCTTGAGGAAGCTCTAAACAGGGAAGCTGTTTGCAGGAAAATAAATCAAGATTTCCACAAATTTCAAGGGTGTCTAGTTTTAATTCTCCACAACATGAATGCTGTTTGGGAACAATATTAGTAGATGAATAGACTGATTTAAATGGAAATCTGATAAGTTTGGGTAGCAAGAAATCGAGTTCTAGCAGAGTCCAGTATCTTAAATAAGGCTTTGGCACTCTTGTTAGCAGCTCAGCTCTAGAAATATTCCTTATTAGTCAGTGATGATGCATAGTGACACTACAGTTTGAAATTTGCATCACAATTTCAGGCATTCCCTATACTAGGGCTGCCTCATGGCTTTCAAAATGGTACATTTTATTAATATAAAACTCTTCTTTAAATTTTTAATTAAAATAAAATTTAAAAAAATGAGCAAAGGGAAAGAACTTACCACCAACTTTAATTCTTGTAGAACTTTCAGGTAAAATTTGAAGAAGAAACTAATCATTAGGGTTCGTTTGTACTCTACCATACCTCCAGGTGCTGAGCCTGGGAGCAGAACTTCCTCAAGAACTATTTTGCAAGCTGTATGCAGCATTTGTTCAGTCCATTGTCTGGTAGAGGAAAAATATATATATCCATAACCTGTAGATGGATCTGATATGTGCTACAACATCTGAATGCTAAATAAATTCAGAAGTACAGGGGGTTGGACTGATGATCTGTAAGGTCCCTTCCAGCCCCGAACAACTATGAAACTATGATTGATCAGTATCTACATTAATATAGTTATATATTTTAGTTTAGTGTTAAACATACTATCATATGCATAAAGATTCCATAATACTGCTCTGTAATATCCCAGATTTTCAAGTTAGACTCATATAACTTTAAACTGAAAAGAAAACTCAGATCCTTTAGTTTTAGCTCTTTACAATATTCGTTGTTCATTACCAATGGTGTCTCAGGGACAAAATGCCCATAGAAAAAATACACAGTACCTTCCTATCAGATCCTCACAAGACTTCTTTGCACAAGTTGTGGTTGAACCAACTCCACCATAGAAAATGCTGACGTTCCTAATGATGTCTGTGCCTTCTTCAAAAAGAACTTTCATTCCAGCATTAACGATGCACAGAGCATTTTCATGACGCTGGGCTTGCCGAAATGCTGATATAAATTCCCACTGGAAATAAAAACCAGAAATTAACATTTATGTAAATTATAGTTAGTTTCCACTCATACCCATATTTAAGATATTTTAAACACATTAAAAGCAATTTTTCTTTTACAGAACATTGGGCGCGTCTACACGTTGCCCTATGGCAATACTGTTACTGCACCATACTTTAGTACTTCCTTTTGAAAGTATTAAAGCATGGCACAGTAACTGCCCATACTGTGCCACACGCACAGCTCACAGCTATTTTTAGCAGCTACTTTGCCATTGCAGCATGCCATAGTGGGGGAGTGCACTGCTACTGTGAAGTAGCTGCTGGTTACATGTAGACACCCATGGATGCTATGTCACCATAGTGTGTCACTATGACGATGTAGCATCACTTGTAGACGTGCCCACTGGTACTTAAACTACACTCCTAAAACAAGAACACCTAAATAAATCTAAATATAATTATTAAAGGCATTAAGAATTGCATTTCTCACTGAATTCAGTAATATTTGTGGGTGCTTAGTGCCTAGGACTACAAGCCAGTTTACTTTAAATGACAGAGGATCATTGCACTTGATTCAATATGGGGGCATTCACTGCATTTTAAGTCTAGTAAGAAGTCAAATAGAAAATGACCTTCTGGTAACTCCTGGAAGGCATAAGGTCCACATTTGCATGCAATGTCTTTGTATTCAGAGAATAACAGGGAAAAGTACACCAAATGCCAATATACTAGCTCTCTGGGAACAGGCAAGCTATTTGTGTTTAATTGTATGCATTAGAGATATTTAAAAATCTTTTTTTTTAACTACATTTCAAATGTTTTAGTCCAAAGTTTCTCATTTTTCCCAACAAATGTGATCACTAAAATTTCTTTATGTTTGGTTATTTTGACCATCCCTCTTAAGCTGCTGCCACAGGCCTCTAGTTGACAATGATTCTATTCTCTAGTAGAAGAGCAGGAAACAAGAAGAAAAAGCCTGTCTGTGCCTATTCTGCAGACCACTACCTTGTGCTTCTTGAATCAAGACTGGGGTCCCCACAGCCCACAGACTGAAATCACCACAGGGAAAAAAAAGGTATTATCACTATAAAATTCCAAGAATACAAACCAGTGTTTATTCTACTTTAACTATGGTTTAACATCAGATGCCCCATTAATTCACAATCAAATTACAGAGGCCTACTATTTGGAAGACTCGAATATACTAAAAATATACAATGGGAGCAAGGAGGGAAAATCCATGAGGACTTAGAAAGGAAAATATAGAGATATATTTTCTATACTTTTAATATAGAGATTTAAACTTAGAATGGGGAAATAATGTCTTGCTGGAGCATCCCTTAATATATCCAAAGTGTTGTTATGTCAAGTATACCTGTCCATTTTTATACAACATTAAATTCACAGCTAAAATCCATGATTATGCCAGTGCTTTCCCAGAGATCTATTTCCGAATTGTTTTCACAAGTTTTTTAAATAGGATTAATAAAAAAATTATCTGTTTTAAATACAAAATATCCTTTGAAAATTTAGTTCTCTTCTTTTAACTAAAAAGGCTACATACAAAACTAACGGCTCACAATAACACAAACGGCAATATAAACCAGAAAAATAAGCCATCACTGGGACATTTACCTTCCTTGAGTGAGGTATGTGAACAGAGACTAAGATCTCCTCCGGCTTAAGGGCATCATTTCCCAATCCAGAAAAAAAAGAATCATTTAAAGGTATCTGACGTGTTCCTTCTGATGGAAGAAATAAGTTTCCTATTAGGAATTTTCTTTCTTTTTGTCCAGAAAACAAATGCTATATACATTTCTCTACACTATTTCCAATTAGTCTAAACTCCACTTGAAGGAGTGGACAATATCAAAATTAAGGTTAATGCCCTTTCAGTGTACTTGAACTGAAGTTTCACTGATAGTTTCATTGGTTATTCTACACAGTGGACACGTCTACACAAGATGTTACTGTGCGGTAGCAATGAGCTACTGCGTAGTAGGGCTGCGTGAAGCTTTGGTCCCGGATTCAATTTAGCAGAGATTCAGCCCAATTCAGTGGCCAAATCTCTGAATCCAAATCGAACTAGAGGACTCTTTAATCTCTCTGAATCAAATTGGAAGCCTCTGAACAGATTCGGAAAGATTCGAAGATAGAGACAGCTTTAAATGTTTTTTCTACAAACCTCTAGGTAGCAGGGGCTCGTGAATGCTGTGATGCTGGGGTGCATGGAGTATCCCACAGAAGCACAGGGGGTCCCCAGCACGCTCGGCAGCAGACCTGGAAATGGACCAGAAGCACTTCCGGCCCTCCACATTCCCCTGACTTAGTGACTGGTGCCTCCTGGTCTGAGGGGGCACCTGGGGCCCCCCTGCAGCCAATCACCAAGCCGGAGAGGCATGGCAGGGCCCCCAGCGCATTCCCTGGCAGACCCGGAAGTGGACTAGAACTACTTCTGGTCCACTGCCGAGCACATGAAGGTCCACCCCCCGCCGTCTGTGGGACTCTCCATGCACCCCAGCATCGCAGCAATCATGAGCTGCGCCTACTACCTCAAGGTACGTAGAAAAAACTTTTAAAGCCTGTGTCTATGTCCAAATCGTTGATTCTCCAAATCAGCATTGAATCTTCAGATTCGGAATCGACTGAATCAAATCAGGGACAGTGATCCGAATCAATGAATTGAATCACTGTCCCTGATTCAGGCCAAATCCGATCTGAATCGAATAGGGCCCACTTCACACCACACTGCGTAGCAGCATTGCCGGGCACTAATTGTGAAGTGACACTACTGTGCAGTAATAACAAGCTACTGCATAGTAGCTTGTTGCTACTGCAAAGTCATGTCAGAAAAAAACTGTGTGAGGACAGTGTCATGGGATGGGGTCCCCAGGGATGGCCATGATACCCCTAGGGCTCCTTGACCATGCCAATCCTGCCCAATGGGCACTGTCTTTCTCACCTGCCATGTCCTGTTGTACTCCTCCTACTAAATCAGAGGCTGCCCTCAAGTTTGTATTTTGGGCTCGGTCCTGATGGACCCCACTGAACCCTGTGGGTTCTTGGACCCCTTTTGGGTCCTGCTTCAAAATGGATGCCTCTCGGACAACCTCAGCCTTATGGGCTAGATGTGTGACTCCAAACTGCCCCTTTACCACGCCCCAAGCCTCGCAGATGGCATTCACACATTGTCCCTCCAAGGCCTTAATTTAGCTTGGCCTCCGGTCATCACTAGGTTCTCCACAGCCCTGTCTCTCTCTTGGCACCCCCTTGTGCTAGGCTCTCTGCAGCCCTGTCTCTCTCTCAGCGCCCCCTGGCACTGGCTCCACTCACCCCCTTTGTCACTGCACCCCTGGTGCTGGGGTCGACTCACCCCTGAATACTGCACCCACTCTGGTGCTGGGGTCTGTTCACCCTGAATACTGTGACCACACTGGCGCTGGGGTCCGTTCACCCCAAATATGGTGCCTATGCTGGCACTGGGGTCCCCACACTGTAGTGAGCCCCAAATGAGGCCTCCTCCTTCCCCAATAGCTTCAGCCCGATCCTCCGGTCTTATAAAACAGCAATCAAAAATATGAGCTAATAACATAACACAAAAAGTTAAGGGTGTGCTCTGTCCCTTTAAAAGAATCAAACTTCTTCCCCAGCACTAAGTGCCTTGTAGGCAAGGGTAGCTGGTGAGCTCCTGGATTCCCATTAGCCCTACGTGCAGCATCTCTGGCAGCTGCAGCATCTCTGGGCAATTCCTCCCTGGAGGCTCCTTCCCCCTTGGCTGCTGGCAGGGAACTGCCTCTCTAATGCCAGCCCTGGAGTTTATATGTGCCCAGGGCCCGGCTGCTTCTGGTCAGCTGACCGACTGCAGGTGCAGGCTAATTCCCTCCTTAGGCCTGCTACCACAGTAACCTGCACCTGTGGGTTCCTGCCTGACTGCTAGGGCCCTCTCTCTGGGCAGTTTCTGCCTTTAAAGGAGCAGGCACCTTAGTGCCCTGTGACAGACAGTACTGTGCAGTAACGCTGGTTACTGTGCAGTCATTTAATACTTGCAAAAGCAGGTGCTTGTAGTAGCTCATTACTACTGCGCAATAATGTTGCATAATGGTTAGTGCCTGGCAATACTACTGTGCGGTAGCCACAAACTACTGTGCAGTAGGCCATTGCTACTGTGCAGTAGCATCTCATATAGACATTCCCACTGTGTAGAATAACTAATACTATCAGTGGTTGTTTTTGTATAAGCAAACACTAAGTGATTGCTCAGTAACAACTGCGCAATCCGCCGCTCATGTAGATGCGGCCACTATTGCTCTCTAAAAAAGGTAACCTCTACAGACCTTGTAGCTTACCTTTAGATGCCAGGTTGAGGATGCAATTGGATGCTGCTAAAATGGGATTCAGGTCAGAGGCTGGATGCTTTATTGTAATATTTCCTCCAAAGGACTTAAAAATGGAAGTTGTTAGTTTGTACAATTCATCCATCAGAATAGCGGCTTTATTCACTTTAAATATAATTAGATTTTATGCCTGCAAGATATATACTAAGACGTAGGCATTTATAATAACTTATTTCATTTTGTGAAACAAATGTTTATTTTAATTCAATATTACTATCACGAGCTTCTGTTTTCAGGTCAAAATTATCAAGAGGCTTGTGAATCTACCCCAAATTACTGTTATAAATAAGTTCTAACTTTCAATATTTAAGTTATTTATTTCTCTATTTTAACTGTTATTAAATAGTAGGTATTACATTATTGAAGCCTCATAGCTTAACTAACTATATTTACTGACTTTTTTCATCCTGTTATTATCTTGGTACTGATATGCAATTTAAAGTCTTAATAATTTTTCATTTGAAAAGAGTCTATAGTGCACAATCTTGTCAAAATGTTAGTTTATTTTGTTCCTCCTCTTATAAATACAATTTTAATAAAGGTTTTAATATATTTTAAATAAGTTTTAAAAGTAATCCTCATTTTGCTTTCAAAATTTTCTTCTAAAAGTCAGCAACCACCCTGTAAGCCAAGGGAATTATGTAGTATCAGGGTAAAAGATTACTTTTATTGATGAAAATCAGCCAAGTTCCTTGATTATGGGCATCAAAAATAAATCCCACAATTCTGGGAAAAATTACAAACTTCTTTTAGCACCTATGCGAAACTGCTTTAACATATACCCTTGATTATCACAGAATCATAGAAAAGATAGAAAAGTAAGGCTAAAAGGGAACTCGGGGTGAGGAGTGGGGGTGGAGAATGGTCATCTAGGCAGGATCGCCACTAACTAAATCATCAGAAAAAGTAACAACTGTCTTGTACAACTACAAGGCATAATGCCCCTCAAACACCAAAGAACACCCTAACTTGACACAGACAAGGAAGGGGAACACAAATGCACTGTCATTGTCCTGTCATTGCAAAGACAGGAAGCAGTTTGTTCACCTTCTCCCATCAAAGGGTGACCCACAAGACAGTGGGACCTAGGGTTCTCAGGCAGTAACATGGCATTTTGTAGAGACTACCCTGGCACAAGGAGCTCCACCACAGTAACCAGTCCCAAGAAGGTGTACTTTCCTGGTCTTACCCAGGACCAATCTCCATGCTCTCCTGCCTTGGTCATCTTCACCCTTCATGGGCAGTTTCTCACTTCCCGGCTTTCTGGCCCCTTTCCACTCAGGCTAGTTGAGATCTCAGGCTCCCGGCTCTTGCAGTCTTAGCAGTGGTCTCCTTCAACCTTTTAACCTCTTTAGGGCCCCACCTCTGGAGTGCCAGACCTCTTGGTCTCTCAGGGCTTCTCCAGACCCCCTTGGGCTATGAGCTTCTGGACCCTTTCAGTCTCCAGCTGTGTTCCCTGGACTTTAACTCCTCTCTGGGTCCTGGCCCCACTCTTGGGCCAGTGAGACCTTGGCACTTGGCCCTGCTAACACTTGCCTCTCCTGGGCTCTCTAGCTTCACTGATACTCAGCCCCTCTCAGAACTCTCGTCAGATCTCTCTCTCTCGGCTTGACTCTGAACCTCTGGACCCATCTGGTCCCACTCTCTCCTGGCCCCTCCTGGGCTACAGATCACTGAGTTTGCCTTGCACAACTTCGAGATTGTGAGTTCCTGGCTTTCCATGCTTTCATGACTCTTGGCTGGACCCAGCTCTTCGGCCCCCACTCTCAGTCCCTCTCTGGACCCTGTGGGTCTGTTGTCTCAAGCCCTTCCATAGTTTTCTCACTCTCAGTCTTTTCTCCAACAGTTTTCTGAAGTCCCCACACTCTCTTTTGGGTCTTAACATTCATTCTATGGATCTCCCTCCAGCCCTTCTTTTTCTTGACAGACCTTTATAACTCTGATGGCACTGCTTTAACCAAATCCTTTCTGGGCTGCAGACTTCACAATCTATGCTCATCAGTGGCCCCTTCTGGCTTTGCTTTCTGCCAACCAATCCAGCAAAGCTCTGACTCTCTCTCTAGCAACGCTATTGTCCTTGCAGTCTGTCTCAGAAAAAAAACCACCCTTTGCTTACACAGCTGCACTCTGAGTTTTTGGAAACACCTTCCTGTCTTAGCATGCTGTTAACACTTTCCTTTCTATGATAGCCACGCTGGTTATCATATTCCTGGACAGAGGTGGGGAGCAAAGACATCCCTTGCTTCATTCCAGTTCCCATCTACTGTGGGCTTCAGAGCTCTTCTCAGTCTCCAAGCAATGTGTGAGGGTTTCCTGGGCTTCCAGCTGTTGCTCTTCACAAACAACTCCAGGCATTGATACCCCTGACCAGTGTTTATTAGGGCTGTGTGAAGCTTCGGGTGCCGATTTGATTCAGAGGAGATTTTGCCTGATTGGGCAGCCGAATCTTTGAATCCAAATTGAATGAGGAGACCAGTAAAAAGGTCTGAATTGATTCAAAGCTCTCCGAATTGATTTGGAAAAGATTCAGAGAGCTTTGGAGATTCAGGCAGTCCCCGCTTGCTGTCACAGGGAGGTGGATCTGGACTCTGTGCTGGTAAGTAGGGGGCAGAGGAGGGGGGGGCTGGTGGAGGGTGAGGGAACGATGTGG